TGGGATTTTGAGGGGATTTTTCCTGACAGTTCTGGCGGCCAGTCTGAAATTCTTTCAGCTAGGAGCATCTGCCGGAAAACCGATGCCGGTAGTGACAAAAACCTGCGGGGAGCTCTGCAAAAAACACATCTTCGCGCGGGCAGCCCGTGCGTTGGCCATTTATTTGAAAAAATGAAAATGCAGATTTTTTGAAAAATTTCAAGTTCACTAAAAAGTGGAAGTATTACTCGAGCGGTCGTTTGCGAAAAAATCCGAATATGTAAATGAACTAATGTTCATTTACATATTTGAATGAGGGCGGTCGTTCGCTGCAAAACGCACTCGTTTCTGATTTTTCGGTAAAGTTGAGTATTTCTCACGCCTACCTGGAGGGAATGAATGGATCGAATGGATCGTCGTGAGACGACGAAAAGAGGAAATGAAATAGATTGTGAAGCGCATATGTGTATTATAAAAAGTTAAGGAGATGTAAGGAAGACATGTAGGGAAGCTAAATGTGAAAGTGGCTGTCTGTGTTTCATCCCTAAGCTGCAAACACAGACAGTATGCGGTGTGGACTGGAGTGGGAACATCAGTGCAGCCCCCAATCCACCATTTGGTAATTTTGATAAAAGGAATGCATGGGAGAAGAAGAGAACAGGAGAGAAGGAAGACAGTAAAGAGTAGGAGGTGGAAGGCAGAAGCAATGAGGCGAGGGGGAAGTTTTGAGGAAAAAAGAATTACCTGTTTAACATAAGCATGCATAGAAAACTAAAGTGTGTCACGTAGTTGTCGCCCTTAGTGCGTTTCGTGGGAGACTCAGGTTGCGACGTCATACTGAAATATCAAGTCAGACGTACTTGATACAACTCTATATATTTATCAGTAGGGAGCAAACGTGCGCGACTCAGAATCATCGAACGTGCGCGACGATCAAAACGACTTTATATCTACCCACAAACCTGCGGGCAATAACTTCTAATCTCGAAATATCGAAGCTCCTGTGAAGGTAGATGCTGACGAGGCGGTGAAACCACCACAGAAACCGATCAAGACAGGAACAAATGCGCGCATATCGTAGCATTTGAGAAATTAGGATGCCGACGTGAAGAGTTTGGTCAACGTCACTATGAGCATCACTATAATAGATGACGGTGAATGGATAATCAAGGCTTTTTCATAAACATCGAAGATACACGTATGTTGGTGACAGGAGGTATCCAAATCAAGGAAACAGGCATGATCACCATTGTGGGTTGTATTGAGGACCAGAGAATTCCCATAAATGTCTCGTGAAATCGAGGGGAAGCCGGGAAAATTGACAACCAGAATATCATCGATGTGTCGGAAGAGCTTTAACCTAACATGTTTATGGTTTTTCATGAAACGGTATTCCATGATTGACAATGTTATGCCGGCAGTGTCCGGACTCGCACTCCCACCCATCGGAATACCGCATGCCAATCAAAATCGCTACTTTGTGTGTCGCTAGTTTGTGTGTTATGATCGTTTTTCTTAAGTGCATTCAACAGTGCGATTTCGAGCATCTTGGAATCTGAATTCCTGTGCTCTGGAAAATTCAGTTAGCTCTACCTGGATTTTAGGGATTAGCATATTCGCGAATGAAACATCTCAGTAACATCACTAACAGGGGATGCCCACACTGCTTGCTCTTATAGTTTTGGTATTCTTGGTAATGGTTCTTTAAAAAAAAGAAGCAACTGAGCTGCAGCTGCTTTTTGTTCGTGCTGTAGCTAAGTTTATTTGATAAATGAAATTTTGTCTCTTTTTTTGCTCCATCAAGCAGCACATCGACAAAAATAATTGTATTACCGAATGCTTTTCTGGAGATGGAATGAGAACTGGCAAAGCGAATTACGTTATCATCCGTGCATTAATGCATATTATTGAAGAGCATCTACCATCTGGAGCTAATCAGAGCGCTAAACAATATGTCTGTTGAATTCGCCGCTCATCAAAATGTTCATCAAGTTTTGATGAGAAACGTTGTGAAAATGAAACAAGAATGTAAGGAAATCGCTTCTAATTAAATCTTTTTCTCGTTGATGTGGAAATTTCTTTTCTGACCGGAACAATTCCAATCCCCCAGTGCGCAAGTGATCATCAAACACGGAATTTTCACTGCAGAAATGATCGCATTCTGTGCCTTCATCTCATCGCGCCCGCACATACGCCACTATCATTTTTACTACGTTTTTGTTAACGGCGTTTTACAATTTTTTAAGTACAGGTCAAAAAAATGACCGTTTAATTGCCTGCTTCATTTAAATTTCTTGTATTCGCAATAAAAGCTAAGTAAAATGAAATTGGGCAGACTTTTCCTTCATTCTTTTTGAAGCGCCTACATAAAATCATTCGCATCTGAAGCATTGCTCAGTCAGAATTTAGCTTTTTGATTTGTTAAATTTATTGTCGAACACAATTTTTTTTTATCAAAGACTGACTGACTCGAACAGTGACAGCTTTTCAAATGCAGTTCCATTTTTGATCAATTCAGTGCTGCAGGAAACCTTTGATGGCTTTTGCTTAGAGGCTGCATATCTTATTTAATCACACAGAGAGCTTTTTATACTTTTTGGCATGTGTGCACAGGTAAAAACGCATGTTGTGACGACCTATAGTTGTTTGATCCTACATACGGTGGAACCTTATAAACTTTCTGTTTAAAGTCAACTGCCAGCGGAATGACAACTGGATAATGTAACACTGGTCAAAGCAACTGGAAAATTTGGCAGCTGCATAATTGAAAAACCACGTTATGATCATGCTTTCGGCTAAAATCCAAGACAGCATCTCATTTCTTACTTCTGTCCCATTTTGTTAATGCTTGCTGAATGATTTCTAGAGTTTGGTGTAATGAAAAGATCTGTGAAAACCTGATATTCAAGGGACATGAATTTTTAAATCCAAAGTGCATCGTTTTGTGCGGCAAGCGGAAAAGCTTAATTCCCCCACAACCGTTGTACTGGCAAAGTTCGGTTGTGGTCACTGGCATGACCAACTTAATGGACCGAAACGTTCCTTTTCTGTTTTTTTAAAAAATTTTCCCATTTCCTTCTACGTTTTAACCCCGTTTATGTTTTTGAGGTAATACTGTTGAACGCCACGCAGTATATTTTGGCTGTAAATCGGTTTAAAGACAAAATTGATAGGATTTAGAGCTAAATTACTGAAAAATTAATGCGTTTCCAAAAAAAGTGCGAACTCCAAAGTGTACAGAAATAATTAGTTTGCAGCCGCATGTTGTTAAGGCACGTACTGGTGTTGGCCAGTGGAATTGTTTGGCTCGTCGAAGCGTATTTTACAGAAGACTTCAACCAGTGGCTCCTGGAATTCTATGGACCCGATGTGCAAACTACGCTGAACAGGTGCTGGCAAATACAATTTGTATTAATACTGCAGTGTGTGCAAACTACTCTCACTAGTACCGCTTCTCATGCATTTTTGCATATATGCAAATACAAAAGCGCATATTGTGATGATTTATGCTGTGCGTGTATGTGTATACGTATGTATGTGTGTATATATGTGTGTGTGCGCGTGTGTGTGTATGTCTATTCGGATATTTCATTAAAGTTCAGTGTGAGAAACAAATGAAACTGCTTTAGAGCCCCTAATGTTTCTCTACAAAAATTCTAGTGCAAGCATCATTTTTAGGCCGGATCTTGGCGAAGCAGGTTCTTTTGGTGGCAGACAGTTCCATAATCAGGTAATAAAACGGCAACCGATTATTTTTGTTCACGGTGTCTCGAATCGGGCCGGCGATCAACCTCTCACTGGCGCCTTACGCTTCAAGTACGCTTAGGTTCTTGAAAAACATCTAACCAATGAAGCACAGAACTAATTTCTCCTTCAACTTTTCAAATGAGCGCAAAATCCATGATCAGATGTATTTTGAATGAATCGCAGGGCTTCCGGCT